GAGGAAACAAATATTTCGTGTCTTTTGTGGATGAGTTCACAAGAATGACTTGGGTAAAACTCATCAAGTTCAAGCATGAAGTGTTTACAGAATTCCAGAAGTTCAAGGTGAAGGCTGAGAAGCAGAGTGGTCAGAAGCTGAAGATTCTGAGAACAGATGGTGGAGGTGAGTATAACTCTACAGAGTTCCAGAAGTTCTGTGAGGAGAATGGAATAGAACATGAGGTTACTGCTCCATATACTCCTCAGCACAACGGTCTCGCAGAAAGAAGAAACAGAACTTTGCTTGATATGACCAGAAGTATGCTGAAAGAAAAGAAGTTACCACACATGTTATGGGGAGAAGCTGTTGCCACATCAGCGTATATTCTGAACAGGTGTCCAACAAAGAAACTGAAGGAAACTGTTCCTTTAGAAAAATGGAGTGGAGACAAGCAAAGTGTTAGCCATCTGAAGGTGTTTGGTTCTGTTTGCTACAAACACATTCCAGAGGCTAGAAGACGAAAACTGGATGATAGAAGCAAAACAATGTTACTGGTGGGGTACCACAATACAGGTGCCTACAAGCTTTATTGTCCAGAAACCAACAAAGTTGAAATCAGCAGAGACGTCGTTGTGAAAGAGTCAGAAACATGGGATTGGAACAAGCTTCAATCAGATTCTGGTGTAGTGCCAACACCAGGGTTAGTTTCTGAAGACGAGTCAGAGTCAGAAGAAGAAGACTCTGAAGATGAGTCAGAATCTCAGGGAGATTCTGATAGTGGATCTGATTCTGATCCAGATTCTGATGATGATCCAGAATCTGGTGGTGATTTTACTTCTGGAAGGGAAAACTCTGAAGACATAGGGTCTGGAGAACAAATTTCCAGAAGTAACTCTGAAGGTGGTAATTCTGAAGGAAGTAGTTCTGGACAAGGTTCAGAAGCCAGTATTGTTCCGAATTCTGGAGAAGCTTCAGAACAAGACCAGAGGCCACAGAGAATCAGACGAATACCAAGTAAGTTTGCAGATTTTAGCATGTTGCATGATACTGAAGTAGATTCTGAAGGTGAAATCGTTCAGTGTGCCATGCTAGTAGATTCTGAACTAGTGGGTATTGAAGAAGCACTCAAGAAGAAAGTATGGCTGAATGCCATGAAAGAAGAACTTGAGGCAATTGAAAGAAACAAGACTTGGAAGCTGACAGAACTTCCAAAAGGCAAGAAAGCCATCAGTGTCAGATGGGTTTTCAAGCAGAAGCTAAAGCCAGATGGATCAATTGGCAAACATAAAGCGAGACTAGTGGCCAGAGGTTTTCTTCAGAAACCTGGACTAGATTATTTTGAGGTGTTTGCACCTGTAGCTAGACACGAAACAATCAGACTGGTGATTGCTTTAGCTGCAAACAGAAATTGGCCTTTGATACATCTGGATGTGAAGTCTGCATTTCTGAACGGTCCATTACAGGAAGAAGTTTATGTGTCACAACCTCCTGGATTTGTGAAAAAGAATCAGGAAGGGATGGTATACAGGTTAAGTAAAGCTCTGTATGGACTGAAGCAAGCGCCCAGAGCTTGGAATCTGAAGATTGATTCGTTTTTCAAGGAACAAGGGTTTCAGAAGTGTGAGATGGAGTATGGTGTTTACGTTCAGCACACTTCAGAAGGTAATATGATTTTGGTATGTTTGTATGTTGATGACATATTACTCACAGGAAGTTCTGAACAAGAAACAGCTGAGTTCAAGAAAGTTCTGATGAAGGCGTTTGAAATGACAGATCTTGGAAAAATGAGTTTCTTTCTAGGGATGGAACTTATATACTCTGAGAAAGGAATCATTTTGCATCAGAAGAAGTATGAACTAGAGCTTCTGAAGAGATTTGAGCTAGCAAATTGCAAGATTGCTATCACACCTGCTGATACGAATCAGAAGTTGGACTCTGATTCTGATGGAGAGGATGTGGACGCTACAACCTTCAAACAGATGGTTGGTTCTCTGAGGTATCTATGCAATACCAGACCTGATATTTGTTATGCAGTTGGAATGGTCAGCAGATACATGAGCAAACCAAAATGGTCTCATTACCAAGCTGCTGTCAGAATTCTGAGGTATATAAAAGGAACTCTGAATTATGGAGTGTTATTTCCTTCTGGAGGAAAGATCAAATCAGAACTTCTGAGTTATTCTGATTCTGATTGGTGTGGAGACAGAGTCGACAGAAGAAGCACTTCTGGGTATTTATTCAAGTTTCTGGGAGGTCCAATTTCTTGGTGTTCCAAGAAACAGCCTGTTGTGGCTCTGTCAACATGTGAAGCTGAATACATTGCTGGTGCTGTAGCCGCCTGTCAAGCAGTTTGGCTTCTGAATCTGCTGCATGATCTGAAGGTTGAAGTTGAGGAACCTCTGAAGCTGATGATTGATAACAAGTCTGCAATTAATCTTGCAAAGAATCCAGTTCTACATGGCAGAAGCAAGCACATTGAGACGAAGTATCACTTTCTCAGAAGTCAAGTGCAGAAAGGAGTGCTGGAAGTTCTGCACTGCAGCACTCAGAAGCAGCTGGCAGATGTTCTGACCAAGGCAATAAAAACAGACCAATTTATGCGCTTGAGAGATGAAATTGGTGTTGTTAACTTCTGATAAATTACTAAATTATGGGATGGTATTAGAGGGTAATTTAGTATTTTGTTAGTTAAAGATAAGTTTACAATTAGGGCCTATGTGGCATTATTATTTGTGTATAAATAGGTGTATTAGGATTACATTTAAATCAATCAATTCTCCAATCATTTGTGTCAGCCTCTATTGCATTTATTCCCTTTCATCTTCTTCCTCAAATTCATCACCTTTGCACTAACATATATATATATATATATATATATATATATATATATATATATATATATATATATATATATATATATATATATATATATATATATATATATATATATATATATATATATATAAGGATTCATGAAAGTGAACATCAAAATTTTAGATTTTTTTTTACTAATTAAAATTTTAGATAAAACTCTATTTTATATTAAATTTGTAATCTAGAAAGAAAGTGAGTATGACATATGAATGAGTCTCCATTGATTGGACATTGGTTTTGGTAGGTATTTAAATATGTCAAGTGTTTTTGTTTTTTACTATTTCATTTATTTACAACAATTACAATTGATTTAATTCACTTGAATTAGCCCATCAATTTTAATTATTTATGATTTAACAATATGTTATTTAACATTTTTATGTAAGGAATTATAAATAATTTCTGAAAATTAGTGATTTAATTTTATAATATGTATATGTAATTATAATTCAAAATAATATTTTAGAAATGATTTTAGATATTTATTTATCTATTTGAAAATTATAAGTTAAATTCAAAAGAGTTGTTTGATAACTTTTTTAACTTTGATATAAAATTTCATATTTGAAATTAAAATTTTGCAACATATAACCACATTTGCAATTATAAATTATATTTTAAAAAGAATATCATTTTTTAAAAGTATTGATAGGAAAAAAATATAGATATGAAAAAATAAAAATAATGATTAATATATGAAAAATATAATAAGTTGTATTGTTTCTGCGTACTAAATTCTATCTTTTTTGTGAGGAATTTAAACAGTGATAATGTTATAACTTTTATTGAGAACAAAAAAGGTTTTCTTTTTTATAGGAATTATATTATTTCTTATAATTTTTTATCAAATTATTTAAAATTGATTAATTTTATATTTTTCGGAATTGAATAAATTCTCATAATTTTTTTATCAAATTATTTAAAAATTGATTAATATAATTTTAATAAGTTCTCATAGTTTTTTATCAAATTATTTAAAATTTTGATTAATTTAATTTTTTATTTAAAATAAGTGTACGTAATTGTAACTAAAATAAAATTTTAATAGTTCGAATTTTGATATATGTTAAATATATTAATTGTATATATATTAATTGTACATATACGTAATTTATAATAATATGTGTTTTGATATACTGTAAATGTATAATTTGTATAAGTACGTAGCTTTAATACTAGAATTTTAAAGAAAACAAAATTTTAATACTGTAAATATATATATTTTTAGGATTTGAATTTGTGACTTTCTATATAAAATAAATATTATATTTTTTGTGTTTTTGTGAGAATTTAAACTTGTAATTTTTTATAGAGAATAAATATTTTTTTTTTTTGTTTTTGCAAAGAGTTAAATTTGTGATCTCTAATATAAAATAATTATTGTATTTGATCTTTTAAAAATAAATTTAGAAATGTGTCACATAGAATAATAAAATAATATGACACAAATAAATTTATAGACTTAATATGTGTCATAATATAATTTATTATTTCAGATTTAATATATTATATAAATATAAAAACCTTAAACATATAAAAAATAAATATCTCGATAGAACAACGTCAAAAGAGAATTTAAGTCACATGCTAATCTTGTCTCCATCGTTTTAAAAGATGATGACAATTTTATAAAAAAATGCAAAAAAAAATAAAAAATACATTAATTTACACCGATCAAAAATCATTTTAATTCTCAAATAAATTTTTAAATAATCATTACAATATTGAAATATTTATTTTTATCAATTTAATTTATAAAATTATACGCACTAGAATTATAAGATTATAGTAGTACTATTTCACATGAACAAAACAATGTTTGGTCAAATACAAATAAAGTGTTAAGGTTCGACTATGACATTTGGCTGAATGATGTTTATTACACACATGAAGGCTCTGGAAGAGGTTGGAAAATTCTTGAACACAGAAACAATCCTTCTCTCCTCCAAAACACCATACTAATCCAGAACTTTCTCAATCTCTTTCTACATTATAGAATCTTCAAGAACCATGTCACATTTACAACCTATAAATACAACATACTAGTACATCTATTTCCACCATATTGAAGACACAAACAACAGAACAATCATAATATAACTCTCCACTCCAAACCTAAAGCACAAAAATTTCCATTTCCAAGTATGAGTCTGCAACGACTAAACATGGCACTGGTACCATTTCTCTTCCTTATTCTTCTTGCTTCTAACTTTCCTTTCAAAGCAAAAGGATCACTACTACCATTCTTAGACTCTCCCAACACTCTCTTATCGGATCTCTGGTCTGATCGTTTCCCTGATCCATTTCGCGTCTTAGAACAAATCCCCTTTGGAGTTGAGACACATGAACCATCAATGACACTGTCACATGCTAGAGTAGACTGGAAGGAAACTCCAAAGGAACATGTTATAATGCTGGACGTGCCTGGGTTGAAAAAAGATGATATAAAGATAGAAGTGGAAGAGAATAGGGTGCTAAGAGTGAGTGGTGAAAGGAAGAAAGAAGAAGAGAAAAAAGGAGATCATTGGCATAGAGTTGAAAGATCTTATGGAAAGTTCTGGAGGCAGTTTAGATTGCCTGAAAATGTTGATTTAGATTCTGTCAAAGCTAAGATGGAAAATGGTGTTTTAACTTTAACACTTAATAAATTGTCACATGATAAGATCAAAGGTCCTAGAATGGTTAGTATTGTTGGGGATGAGGATGACAAACCATCTAAGATCATCAATGATGAGTTGAAATAATTAAGTGATTTTGATCATTGTAGTTTTTTTTCATTCTGTGTGATTATGAATAAAGAGATCTTACCTAAGATCTTGGTCGTTGTAATAGAAGAATTAGTAATATGAGGATGATGAATAACCTGTTGGCTTTTGTGTTTTCTACAAGACTTCTAGTTTGTTTGCATTTTCCACTTTGATATATATAAATTTTCTATAAAGACAAAAAGCTCATATTAGTTTCATGGAGAGGTTTCCAATCCACAAATCTCTCTTTATATTATTAATTATAATTATACAATGTTTGACTCAATTGTTGGACATGATAATTGATGTCAGGCAGGATGTTTTCGTCAAATAAATGAGTTGGCTTATCTTCTTTCTATAAGGAGTTGGATAATATAATGAAGAGGCAAAATGTTTGTTGAGTTTAGTGCCTTTTATCATGGAGTAGCAAATTGCTTGGCATCAAGAGCTCTTCTTTCAATCAAGAGACTCAAAGTGTATAGCTTTTTATATGTATTTTGTTTTTTAAGTGTTATAATATATTTTGATGTTTTCTTCAACTCCCCTTTCTTTACCTATTTTACAACATATTATCTATTTTACAAATAAAATTAGAAGTACAACAAGAGAAGCTTCAAAAATTAGAAGCATTTATTTACCTCTAGTTTATTTTACAACATATTATTTATTTTCTAAATAAAATTAGAAGTGCAACAAGAGAAGGTTCAAAAATTAAAAGCAAAAATTAAAAGCATTAAATCAAGTTTTCATTATTAAAGAGTCCTTGTTTAGAATTAAACGTTAATTTATTTTTAAATATAAAATTTTCTATTATATTATAATTTTCTAATACAATTTGAAAAGTTATATATTCAATAAAATATTAGAAAAATAATCAAACATAATCCATAAATAACATATCGGAAATATATCTAATTCATAATTGCATTCAAAATAAATAAAAAGAAAGGAGGGTGAAGTCGAAGTGAAAGCAATAAATATGTGAATTAGGAGGGTGAAGTCGAAGTGAAAGCAATAAATATGTGAATTTTGAATGAATGTCATTTTGGTCACTTTACTATTATTCTTGTTAATTTTTTTCATTCACATATCTATACATACAATGTACAAAGGTCAAATATTATAAAACAAATTATTGAAACGTAAACAATAATATATAAAAATATTTTTAAATATATATAAATTATAGCTAAGACGAACCTTTAAGGTAGCTACTTCCTAAGATTTGGAGAAGACGAATTCGTTGTATAAGTTTAAAATTTTAATATGAGTGAGATGAGTGACATAGATGTTAGAATTTTATTTTGAGAGAGATAAGTGAAATAAATGTTAGGTTTTTTTTAAGAGAGACGAGTGAAATAGATATTAGGGATTTATGTTGAGAAAGATGATTGTTATATACTGAAGCAAGAGATAACTTCGCTTATATATAAATATATTACACCTTTCACCACAATTGGTAAGATGAACTGGATGAAATGATTGCACTTTATAACACAGTTGACTAAAAAAATTATGGCGATATACAATAAAATTCTGACACACACAATATAAACGTCAAGACAGATGTCTTAACGCACAAGCACAATGTCACAGCAGATGTTATGACAAATGTTGACAGAACATACTTTTATCAAAATTAAAACAATGCAGAATTATAAAATAAAAAAGGTAAAAGAACACAGAGAGTTATAGACCTGGTTCGGTGCAAACTTACCTATTCTGAGAACTATCAAGTCAGAAAAGAAATTCAATATCAGCAGTATTAATTCAAAGCTAAATTCCTCTGTTTACAACTTATCACTTAATTACTACGCAGTGCAACTTCTATCTAGGCACCTCCTAGATATGAGAATCCCTCTCACTTCCAATCACCGTAGTGATAAAATACATACCTCAATCTCAGTGGCCGTCTATAATCCAACCACAATCACAGTGACTCGAAACCAAAATAAAACTGAAGTTTACACTTCAACCACAATACTCAAACTCTTGCTTAAAAGCTTCGAGTGAGAACAATAACTTGACAAACTGTCAAGTAAAAACCAATCAACTCAAATGCATCAAGAGATGCACGAGGACATACAAAGAAAACAAAAACTCCCTTGAAGAGCCCTCAGACCCCAAGGCTGAGAAAATATGGTCTCCCCTTATTTTATAAGTTCTTGATGATATTAGGTCTAGGTAGTTTCTTTAAATACTCTTCAGATATCTTTGGGCCTTACATCTGCGCCCAAATATTCCTTGTTGTCCACGCTGAGGGGTTGCACAAATCTGTGCAAGAAAATCTCCTTGAATCTTGAAACAAAAACACATGGTTTCATAATTAGTCTCAATCAACCAATTATATCAATCAGTGTACCACTGGAGATAAATTATTTGTTCCAGATTTATATATCCTTGATCTGCAAAAAATCAGTGAGATAAACCAAAAGGAATCTCACATTATCATTTTAAATCTATCAAGAATAAACCAAATAACAACACCTACTGCACCAGACTAAGATGTAATGACATTGTCTTCGATATCTTGCTGAAAATCACATAACAACAAACCTGTTATGGCAAACCATGTTTTTGGCAAAATTTAATCAATCACAAAATCATGGTATTAACAATCTCTCCCTTTGGTTAATTTTGGCTAAAACACTCTTAGCACAAAAGATCCAAGAGAGAGGAATAAAACCACAAACAAAACAAGCTACATCAGAGTTTAAGCAGCTACCCATATAGATAGGTTAGCACTCCCCCTGTCACACATAATAGGTTCTCCCCCTCAAGGAGAAATCCACATCAAAAGAGAAATTCAAATGATTCTCAACACACACCATACAGAATGTTGGAACATTTGTTAAGACATCTTCATCCTGCACAAACTGGCTACATCAGTAGCAGCAAAAGCACAAAGCAAGCATGACTACCATGCTCCCCCTAAATAGTTGCATAGGCAACTACAAACAACACAACACTTTACTCTCCCTTTTTAGTCAAAATCTTGGCAAAAAGAAAATCGAGTAAATGTACAGATTGCAAGAGCACATACTCCACATAAATAATACACAAACAATGGAAGCACAAATAAAAACAAAAATTGAACACATATAGAAACAAATACTAACTGATGGAAGCAAACAAACTACTAAGTACCGTGTGGAAGCACGCATTGTTTATAAATTATAGAAAAATGGTACATAGTTCCAAAAGAAAGACAATTGTTCATAAACCCTTAAACAAAAGACATCACAAAATATTATAATAACACACAGAAGAATAAAATACCAAGTGATCCTCAAACTTCACCAACTTCTCCTTCTAATTCTTCATGAGCTTCTTCAGCCTCATCATCCCCTCCTTGACCATCATCATTTTCAGTAGCAAGATCTGCTTGTCTATCCTCTTTAGTCAAGGCTTCAATCAAACTCTCAAGCTTCACCTTCCTTGCTATGTTGACCCTGATAGACTCATCTAATCCTTTGCAGGCGGCCTTTAACTCAACTATGATGTTGGTGTTGGATGTAGAGACAACACTTCCTTTTTCAGATGTCATAACAATGTCAGTAACATGTGTTCTTTCAAACATCTTGTGATGAAAGGTCAGAGGTGAATCTCTTTTGTACACTATATATGATCCAGTTAAGGTTCTTGTATATTGAGCAAGGATGATTCCACAAATCAGAGATGGAAAAGCAATTGGAATTTTCACTGCACAAGAGGTTCCTTGCTTCATGATTTGGTTAAATATACAATTTTCAAAATTATGCTCAATCTCAGTTCTAATAATGTAAATGAACCTTCCCAGACCAGTAACAATAGACGAGGTGTGGTTGGTAGGCACCCAATTGACCGCTCCAATCTTGTGGAGAATAGAATATTTCACACTTAGACAATTAGCTAGAAATTTTTCCTTTTTAGGCCAGACTCTCACCTATTTTCCAGTGATGATTTCACAAATTGTGTCATCAGACACTCTAACCTCAGATTGTTCTCCATCACTTCTTCTTAGAAACCTGTTTATCATGGCCGGAGAAAATTCTACACACTTACCTCTTACAAACACCTTTATGAATTCCTTGCTTCTGTTATCAGTGCACTCTTGTGTAATGTTAACAATAAACTCCTTTACCAATGACTCATATCGCTTGATCAATTCTGACACAGTCTTTATCAAACCAACATTTTTGATAAGATAAATGACTTCCTTGCACCTTATGATATCTTCACCCAACTCTCTTTCCAGAGCAATACATATCTGACATATGACCTTCCATTTTTCAGCATTTTATGCAAAATGAAACCGACACATTATCCAGAGGAACCTCAGGAATTCCAGCAAGACTCCTCTTTGATGTAGTTTTCTTCTTGCCTTTATCTATGATGTCTTCAATATCAGCATCAACATCATACTCTAAATAACTGGAAGGGGCATTTTCCTCTTTAAGTTCTTCATTTTGGACTCATGTACCACTACCTTGCTCCATTTATTTGTTAGCCTTATACTCACATCTTTCTTTGTGGAAGACTTCTTAGTCATAACATTAACCTTTTCTTTCATATTCCTCGGTTTCTTGGCAACATCAGGGGACAATCATTGGCTGATGAGTTCATCATCAAAAGGGAGATAATCAAGGTTGACTACCTTATTACCAACATCATTACCCTCACCACCTGCTTCACTAACATCTTTATCTCCAGTTTCACCCATATCAGGGTTTTTATGCACCCTCTCATCCAAAGACCTATCTAATGATATTCCAACATTAGGTACATAATTTGGAGTAGTCTTACTACCCAGAACGTCAGTAACTAACCTTCTTATGCTTTGATCAATTCGAAAATCTTTCTGATTAGTTTTTTGGAGAACATTAGGTTTTCTTGAAACCTTATTCCTACTCACAGATGGAATTTCTTCAGAGACATTTTCTTTAGGAATAGTAGGGTTACTTATATTAACGGATTGAGGTCTTCTTCTTCTTCCTGCAAGAGACATTGTTTTGGTC